CGGCACACTTGTATGTCATCAGCGCTGAAAGAGCCTCGACTTCCTGCAGATCAACCTCGGATGCAAAGCGAATACCACCTTTGCATGGCAGACGATGGCGTGAGTGTTGCGACCGATATCCCTTGATCATGACGGTTTTCCCGTCCTTTTCAACAGGAAAAGTCACACTCAGTACACTATCAGTGCTCTTGATGTGTTTCAGCGTTTCGGGCGATGCGTCGCTGTACTTTGCTGCCTCGTCAAAGTACATGCCGACAGCTTGCAGGAACTTTGGCTCATGGTCCTCGGTAGCCCGGTTAACAGCAGCAGCTACATAGAGCGACAGCAGGTAAAATAAAAGACATAGAGATCGAGTTGAGCAGAGATGCACCCAAGGCTGTTCTCGGTCTAGCGCGAAAAGAAAACAAATCAATGCGTGTGTACAGGCCAATGCGGTAGAGAATACCACGCTTGTATGGATACTTACTTGACGAATGGAAGCGCGTGGGAGTGGTGGCTAGGAGCGCACGACGGCTACAGAGAGAAAAAGAGACCGGCTGGCGGGCGCTAGGTTAGCGAAAACGGTATCAAACATTTCCAATGCTTTGGCCGCATAATCCAGACGACAGCGTTAGCGTTAGCTACCCGTGCTATAAAAGAGGATCCTTGGCGTGCCCGCACTATGCCTACGCTTTGAGACTTACCCAACGACGCCTGCAAGACGGCTACGAGCAGCAATCAAGGAAATGGACATTTTTGACTGCCAGAAAACAAAAGGCTATAGGTGTATAGATATGATAAAAAGTGTATAAGTGAGAAATGATACTTTGTAAAAACAAAAGAAAGAATTGGAAGAGGAGGAAATACAGCGGAATATAAATGCGGAGAAGAAAAGGGAGGCAGGGTGGCGCTGCGTGGGAGATAAAACAAATTGGCTTGCTGGACAGACAAGCGCCATGCAAAAGCAAACGCCCCTGCGCATTTATTCTCAACTGTCAAAAAGCACAGACCACCCGGCGCTTGCTGTCTGTTCAGGCTGCGCGCCTTTTCTTTCTCGCTCTGCACGCTGGCGCATTGCATTGCATCGTCTCGACGGTGTGATCTCTGCTGTGCTTTGCGTACACGGGAGAAAGGAACACGGCTGGCAGGGGTGGGGTCCCCTTATCCAGCAGAGGAAAGCAGCGGTCTTTGGAAAGTCCGAGCAAAGGCGTCATCGCCGCCCTCCATGCCAATGGGTTTTGCTAATCAAAGGCACAAAGAGCGGATAATCGCTTGGGCTCACGAGCCCGCGCCATTTCCGATCGACAGGCAGAGGGCAGGTGACCGGGGTGACCCGTGCTTGAGCGCAGAGAAAAGCCTCCTGTTCTCTAGCGGAGGTCCGGCCAACTGGCCCCTTTGGTTGATGGGCACATTCACTCGCCAAACGGCGTTTCATGTGGGTGCGAGAAAGTGCGGTTGAATTTGAGCAGCTGGTTGATGTCCTGGGCCCACCCGCAGGCCAGATCGTCTCTGTTGACGCACAGTAGCGGGTAGGGCGAGCGGCGGATCTCCACGCACTCGCCCTGCGCCAGCACCCCGCAATCGCGGCCGTCGACGTAGGCAGTTGCGTGGCCGCGGCTGGCATGATGGACCTGCAACGTCACCACTGACGTCGGCGGCAGCATCAGCGGACGGAACGACAGCGAGCGCGGACACACGGGTGCCAGCACCATGCTGCTCACCAGCGGATGCACGATAGGTCCGCCCGCCGACAGCGCGTAGGCCGTCGAGCCCGTGGGAGTGGCCACGATGATGCCGTCGCCGACCGACGTCGTCAGCAGGTGGCCGTCCAGGAAACACGAGATGGTCGTCAGGTGCGGATACGTGCCGCGGTGGATACTGGCTTCGTTGGTTATGTGGTGCACACGGTGCTGCAATGCGCCGCCATCCGAGAGACTCGGGCGGTCCCGATGGTCCTGGTCGCCAGACCGTCCCCCGCGCGTGTACACCAGCCGCATGCGTGGCAGCAGCGTGGCAGTGCCCTCGATGACGCGGCGCAGCTGCACGGCAAAGTCCGACACGTTGAACGGCAGCAGAAAGCCCAAAGTGCCCATGGAGAACGGGATGATCGGCGGCACACGAGCGCTAAACAGTGACGACACATGCAAAAACGTACCGTCGCCACCGAGCGTCACCACAAAGTCCACCACCCTGCCGTACTCGTCCTCCGCCCCGCTTTCCGGCACCGTCACCACAAACGGCAGCTCCTTCCGGTGCGCCCGGTACACGCAGGGCTCGAGAACCACGTTGATCTGCGGGTACTCGCGGTGCAGCCACTGCGCAATGCGCACTAGTGCGCTGTCTACTTGGACGTCGTTGGCCTTGCGCACTATCAGCACTGTTTTGGGCGTGGCGCCGTGCCATTGAAGCAGGAGCTGTGGGGAGGCTCCGCCGTCGAGATCGGCGTCCCCGGTGCTATCGCCGGTGCCCTCGTTCTTGGTCTGGCTGTCTGGGCCCTGGCGGTATATGACGGGCTCTGTCTTTGTCGGAATGTCGGCCGTTGTGCTGAGCCCAAACCGCTGCTGCTGGAGGCGCGCACGCAAAACGGACGTGGCAGCCGAGGCAGCCGGTGTCTGTCGCCAGAGGCTTGCGCGCGCCACACGCAGGGCGAGCAGCAGCGACATCCTTGGCCTGGGTAAGATGCGAGTCCGAGTAGTATAGCGCGCTTGTGCAAAGCAAAGAAAGAAAAGAAAGACAGGCTGTTGCTGGGTGTGCTGTCGCCGCAGGTGATGAGTTTGCTCTGTAAAGCATGTCATGGGCAGCCCTGCACCACAATAAAGCAAGCGCTTGCCTCTGCGATTATGGCAGCCGCCGCGCCTGTGCGTGCACCTTCTCCCCGCGCCAGAAATCCGAAATCAGGCGTGGTGGGGGAGAGGGATCAAATGAAATGGCAGCGCAGCAACAAGTCCACTTTGCATTCTCTCCTCCTTTCTTCCCCTCTCAACTCGCTCTGCATTGGCTCCGTCCATCAACTGCACTCCACATCCCGCCCATTCCAATTCGCCCTTTGGCAAAAGATCCTTGCGTCGCCGCCTCATTCCAACCCAGCCGCCTGCCCCACGCCACAGCAGAGAGACTCGACCAGCCATGGGCAAGATAATCGCCGTCGCCAGTGACTCGGAGGACAACGCGCCTCTGCTCAGCTCGCTCAAGAACCTGGGCCCCACCGAAACCGCCGCAGCCGACGATGCCGCCGCACTGCCCAAGCTCGAGTACCCCAGCGCCTCGCGCATCGTACGCGCCGGACCCAGTCTCGGACCCGACGGCAAGCCGCACTACCTCATCGACGACATCCCCGACAACGAAAAGCTACGGCTCATCCGCGAATCAGGGCTGCTCAAAAAGTACGCCAAGGCCAAGGGCAGCACCGGATCAGACATGGACGAAGACGAGGCTCTCGAGATTGCACGCGACTCGGCGTACTACGAGGAGACACAGGAAGAGATTCCCACGTGGATGGACGCGGCCATCTACAGCGTTGGGCTGGCGGCTATCTACGGACTGTTTGAGGCGCTGGTCAACCAGCAGTACAACGTCGATATTGGCCTGCTCGATGTGGCTGAGCGCATGGCGCGCGCACTGCCGGCTATCTACTTTATCGTCTACCTGACACACCGGTTCCGCAAGCTGCGCATTGTCAGTCTACTGATGCTACTAGCGTCGTGTGCCAGCGGCTGCTACTTTGTGTACCTCAACCTACACTCGCCACGGCTAGGCATCATGCGTCGTGCACCCGGCCTAGTGACCATGTGGATCTACCTGACTTTCCAGATGGACGTACGTCCAGCCGTCATCAGCGCACTCGTAGTCTCAGCCTTTTGGCTCACCGATCCGTTCAAATTGGATCTTTAATTTATTTTTTAACCAATAAACCAACAAACCTTATTGCACCATCGTATACGTCACCGCAGACTCTTGCTCCTCCAAACGCCGCAAGTGCTGTGCCACCCGTCGCTCCAATACGTGGTTACGATGCACACCACCCATACTGAGCTGTGTACGACATCCGTCCACCGGGCACGTCCGGTGTCTCTGCAAGTACTGTGTGATAGCTGCACGCGAGAAACTGTGTCCGCATGTGTCGCTGGTTACTGGCTCGATCAGCCAGGTCGCTGTGATCGGACACTTGTACGTAGCCCTGGCTCCCGCCACCAACACATCATCGCCTTCATCCGCCGTATCCGTAAACAACGGAGCCATTGGCTCTCCCTCATGTCGCAGCTCCCAGAGCTGTCTCCGAAACTCCACATACGCCGCACTACCCCCATACCTCTCCGCCTCACTCGCCTCCACATACTGTTTCATTTTGCGATCAAAACTACGCTGGTACTCGCCAACCCCTGTTGATCCATCTTCTGCTGCTGAGCGACTAATCAGCTGTGTTAAAAGTGCTTGTTCGATCTCCAGCTGTTGTTGCGTATCTATTAATGACCGCAACGCCGTGTCTACTCGTGATACCTGCGATCCTTGCTCGGTTTCTTCCAAATCCAACGCTGCTACTCCGCAGACCCGTATAGCTCGGGTTATTATATCGCTGGTGTTTTGTACTTCACTGCGCACCCCGTGTAACCGGCTATGCAGCTGGATTTGTGACGAACCTCCCGATACTCCTGCTCCATTTTGGCTGTCTGCCATTTTGTGAAAGTTAGTGTTTTACGTATGCTGTTTCAATTTCTTTTAAAATAGATACAATGTGTGTGTTTATAATATTGGGCGATTGCGTTGAGAATATATGTCTGTCGTTCACCACAGCTTTTTGCAATGAGCAGATACCACCCTTATCCTTCCCATGCTATTCACCCTTCATTCAGCAGTTATGCTTTATAAACGTGACTCCCCCACCCATCTTTGAAATTAAAATCCTAGTAAAAGCAGCACACACCTACAATATTACAAATACATATATAGATATCCCCCATTCAAGAACATATACCTCTGTAATTAAAAAACACCGTCCGCTGAATATTATAAAATAAAAAATGTGAGAAGAGTGGGATTCGAACCCACGCCTCCGAGGAGACCACGACCTGAACGTGGCGCCTTAGACCGCTCGGCCATCTTCCCTTGATAGGTTAATCACCTGACTTGGGAATTCGTGGCGCAGGCAAACAGCAGTGCAAGATTTATTTTCCATCTAGTGATTATCCAATTAGTGCGAAATTAATATATACACGCATCGTGTATATCTCTTATCTACAAACATCCATGTGCTATAGATATTATGTTTCCTGTTTGCATTTTACACTGGTGCTGGGCGTGGAGAAAAAGCGTTGCACTGATTTGGGGGCGTATAAACACTATGAGCACAACAAAGGTTTACATAATTTAAAAAATTTCCTGTAATAAAAAAATATATTTTATTATAGGCTAAATGTGGGTTCTCGTAGAAAATTTATAATGGGGTGAGCTAGTTCTGATTGATGTGTGGATATTAATATTAGGACCGATTCAATGCTTGTACTTGATTAACAAATAGTTTGAGACTAATTAGTCTAATTTGCCATCCTCTTAAGAGAGCCCAATAAATTAGACTGAAAACTAGTTTTAATAAACACTTGTTAAAACATGGTGTATTTTTTAAAAAATTATTTATTTGTCAGCTTATAAATACTATCCGTCCAAACTACTTGTAACACAATGCCAATGCAGGACAATAACGGAACATACAAACTAAAAAAATCTTAGATGAAACTAGTTTTGTAAAGTTTTCTTTTTTATTTTCTTATCCAGTTTGTTTTTCTTTACTCTTAGAAACCAATTGATTTAATTTAGCCAGTCTAGCGTCAACTTTAACATGTTTTCGAAATAATTTTATAGTAGGATTATTAGAATTATAATTCTTTTTTGCATTGCTAATATTAAAGTTTCCAATGATTTTTGCATACGTTGAGATGGTTACAAGTTCTGTATCTCGATTGATCACTTGATTTAAATTATTTAAATGATACTCCTCCCCTTTTACAAAACAAGAAATCCTAAATTTTTTATTCTTTAAATAATTTTGATTGTAATCATACAAACATGCTATTATATCAACTGCACGTACTTCCTTACTTAAATAGCTTTTCATTACTAGGTTACCAGCATCATCATGAAAATTTATTTCGACTGTATTACGAGGTTTGGTAGACATTGATAATAAAATAGTATTGGTTGTGAATTAAAAGCAATGTCAATGAAAAGTGCCATTCTGTGCTTCTTTTATACGATTTTAAAATTTGCTGGTGTGTACATTTTTTTCTAATAACTAAAAGTGTATGTGTCATAAATAACACAGAGTAAATTTGGATATCCTGAATCTGCAATTACAAAAGGCTGTAAAGTAAATGGAAATCTCTCCTGAAATCTTGAATGAAACATAAATATTGTAGTATATTATTTTAATAATTAAAAAGGATAATGGGAAGCATCCAATTATTTTTTGATTTTTGATATCAGGTTACTAATTATATTATTTGGTATTTTCTTTATCCAGCTGTTTCATAATTATTAAAAGTAGCAATGTGTAATTATGAAGGACAAAGGTTTTACTGGGCTAATTCCTTTATTTTTGATGTATTTATCGCACTTTTAAATGCGACAATTCTTGGTAAAAAAATTCGAATATTGATAGTCGTTTATATTCGTAATACACGACAAAATAAAACAAAAAGCAGGCTGACTATCATTGAAGGTGATAATCAAAATGCTATACCATATTAGGCTTCTACAAAAAAAACCCCCAAGCGATTTTAAGAGCTACACAAGCCCACGCATTTTGAAATTTCCTTCCAGTTAGTTTCCGACACATGCCGTGCTCTGATTTCGCTCTCCCTCATCACATCTTCCAGATACCCCGGATCATTCAACAAATGTACCAAACGTTCACGGATAGGTGCCACACCTTCCACAACAGCTTCAGCAACCATCTCCTTCATCTGACTATTATTAAAACCTCCCATACATTCAACAACCAAATTCGGATCACTTATATCTTTCATCGCCATATATATAGAAATCAAATTACTTACACCCGGACGCTCCTTTGGATCAAAAGTTATTCCAAGAACCGAATCAGTTGGTGCCTTTTTAATCTTCTTTCTAATCTCGTCATTTGAATCTGTTAAATCAATTCGTGACATTGGGTTTGCTTCAGATTTAGACATTTTACGTGTTGGATCTTTAAGAGACATTACACGTTTGGTCTGAGTAAGCAGTACCTTGGGCACGGGAAATGTTTTGGTCTTAAAGGTTTTGTTGAAATGTGTAACAAGGTCACGCGCGAGCTCCATATGCTGTGTCTGGTCCTCTCCCACCGGTACATGAGTGGCCTTGTACAATAGTACGTCGGCAGCCATTAAAACCGGATAAGTGAATAACCCAGTTAGTAAACCTTGAGCTGCACTAGAATGAACGTTTAAATTGCCGATTTGCTCGCGTTCAATACTCGTGGGCCCACCAGCATTGACATTGCCTTGGTTCGTTTGTTGCTGATGGAGCTTACTTTTCCATTGAGTCATCCGGTTCAGCCATCCAACAGGAGTTATAGTACTGAGGACCCAGTAAAGCTGTGAATGTCCAGCAACCGCAGACTGTCTGAATAGAGAGCTGCGTGTAGGATCGATACCACAGGCAATAAGGGCAGCGGCCATTGAATTGGTGTCCTCTCGCAACTGCCTTGGATTCCTGGGCACAGTCAAGGCGTGGAGATCAACTATGCTGTAATACAGCTTTGTATCGGGAGACTCGTTTTGCAAAGATACCCAGTTTTTGATTGTTCCCAGGTAGTTGCCCAAATGCGGCACTCCTGTGGGCTGGATTCCTGAAAACACCCTTTTCGCCGCGTTTAAACTCGCTAAAGACATCGGTCAAGGAATACTTGTGGTTTAAAGTGGATGTGGTGTAGCTGAGGTATAAAGCTATGGTAGTGTAATTACTTTCTAATGTCTAAACGAAAAAGGAGAAAGAGAGATAAAGAGAAAAATAAAGTTGGTCAAGATAATGGTCTGACCCAAAGACTTGCTTACAATATGGTGAGCTGGAACTGTTGGGATGAGCGTATGGGTGATCCAGGCCTGATCAGCTAAATCCGCTAAACAGGTAAATAAAAAATCAGCAACTGCATTTGCTTAAAAAGAACAATAAGAGAGTAGTTGTCGTCTATTAATATATGTCAATGTCGATTTAAATAGCCACCGTATATGTTTGCTACGTAGAATACAAATGGTACATTTTAGGAAGGGGGAGGCAACGCAGAATAGAATATAAAGGAATAACGCGGTATTGGGGGGTTGGGGCTATTTATGTTGGAGATTTAAACATATTGTCAATGTCCAAGGCTTCTCGCTGTTTGGCCAGTTTCTCTGGCACAGGCATGGGTGGCAGGGGCTTTGGCATCCTGGTTGTTTTCAGCATTGCGCCCGAAGCCAGAGAAGCCATTGGCGCACCACCAATCAGGCCAGCGCCACTCTGGCGCCTCGTAGTCCGAGCACTTATCGAGTGGCCAGCAACAGCTCTCTGCGGAATAGCCCCCGACACCAATGGCAGCGGCTTGTCCTGCACCGCTAACTGACCCGGCTGCTCTACTATTACCGGGGGACTAGGATTAAGACGCTGTGCAATAGCCTTTGCAATCTGACGTATGTCTATCCCATGCCGACTAAGCAACAGGGCAAGCTCATCGGGATCCACAATGAGCTTGTATTTTATAAGCTTCAAAAACGCACGCTCCATCCTATTAATCTCAGCCAGCGTCAATAAATTACGCGGCAAAAACTCACTCACTGTGATAGTAGCCAGGGGATACCGGTCGTCACAAAACTTGCTTGCAACAAGCAGAGCTACCAGAAACAACTTGTGCTTGGCGCCCTCCTCGACCACCGCCTGCTTCTGGGCCACTCGCCGATGAAACCGACTCAAGTATATCAGCGCATGGACCAGCGTGTCTGCTGATATGTGGCCGTTGACGAGTAGTGTGTGGATAAAGTTGCGGAACTCGGGGAATTTGCGTTCGTCCACGGGTCGGTCGGGCAGCTTCAGCTTGGAGTTTGGCTTTTCAACAGCCAGAAAAAGCTTTGACAGGTACTCGACAGTAAACGAATTGAGCGTCGACGGGATATGGTACAGCGTCTGTAGCGTCTGCGTAGGTCTAGAGACTGCGCCGGGGGCTGCAAGGGCACCGGCGGGAGCCGCAAACATGCTCATTGCATTGAGGGGAAAGGTGGGCGTGCAAGACAGAGAAATGCAAAATATGTAGAGAGCGAGAGAGACAGAAAGAAAAAATGGAAAAGAAAACAATAGAAGTGCATGAAAAGACCAGCCTGGCTTAATGTCAGCGCTAATAATAGCGGCTGGCTAATTAGCAGATAATGCTGACCCTTGATTGAAGCATACAATACATAGAGCAGAGCAGCGGGGCGGTGATGGGCGATGACAGCCGATGACGGCCGAGAAACATATGCAGCCCCCCTGGGCAGAGCACCGGCGAGCGAGGACAATGGGGGAAATGAAATAGTTGATAAACAAAAGCACAGAAAAAGTCTAGTTGGCAGCAGAGGGTCCGCCCTTTTCGCCGTCGCTCTTCGCGTCGTCGCTCTTTGCGCCCGCAGAGCCGCTTTCGGACGACGACGACCGGTCCAGCACAAACTCCTCGTACTGGATCTTGTCCTTGAAGGGGCGCGGGCCCAGCAGCTGCAGCATGTCCTCGCGGCCCAGCACCTCCTTCTTGAGCAGCAGCTGCGCGACCTTCTCGACGGCCTCGCGCTTCTCGGTGAGCAGGGCCAGGGTAGTGTTGTAAGCATCGCTGATCATCTTGCGCACCTCCTGGTCGATGATCTCGGCGGTGGCATCCGAATACGGCTTCTGGAACTGCTCGCCCTGCTGCGAGTCGACAAAGTTGACCTGGCCGACGCGCTGGTTCATGCCATACTGCACGACCTGGGCATAGGCCATGCGAGTGACCTTCTGCAGGTCGTCCGAAGCGCCGGTGGTGATGACGCCAAAGAACAGCTCCTCAGAGGCACGGCCACCCAGGGTCATGCACATGCGGTCGTGCAGCTGTGCGGTCGAGAACAGGTACTGGTCCT